CCATACCGTGTGGGATGTGTTTTGCAACCCATCCTAGAAAGTGTACTCTAAACTAGTTATCAAACCTGTTCCACACTCTTATCCTGAGGAGCATAGTTAATAGAATTGGGAGAACTACCAATAACAAATGGGATTATTTATATGGGGCATTCCTTGAATAATTGCAACCATAGCGATCCTATAGTCTTGTCTCTGAACAGTTTTTTTTTTTTAGAAGGGAGGGATGTTATTTTTTTCATCAAAGTACTTTAGATATTTTCATTTGATGTGGAAGCTCTATAAGTTCACTTTTAACAAAGATCAATGTCTGTTGAATATAAAGTGACCCTTGTTTAAAAAATCATTGTAATTCAAAGTTTTTTTAGTTCAACTTGATTTTTTTTTTTTGTAAAAGCAGTATTCTCTAAATTATTGTTGAATTTCATTTTATTCAGCAAAAAAACCATACGTTGCATGAAAATGCATGCTGAAAGTTTCCAATGAGGTGACATATAACTGGATTTAAATGAATACTACCAGAGTTACATACCAGAAATGCTCTTTTCTGTAGTTGTTCATTTTTTTAAATAAAAATGAGAATGGAAAATAAGAAAGGAAAATATATTTATTTCTCTGCAATATTGCTTCTTAGAAATAGACTACTGAAAAATTATGTATTAAAATCTCCATGTTTGGGGAATATTCATGATCATTAACTATGCTAAAGAAGATGATGAGATTTGAAAAAATATCCAGGGCATCAGTTTTAGACAGATTTGTGAATTTTATATGTCAGAATGTGTGGTAAATCATTCTGACATATAAAAACACTGATGCCCAGTGTTATCTTCAAAACACTGACTAAGTGGGGTAAGAACCAGGGATAGCATCCAATTCTATTAGTGATGCTGTTTGATGTACTTCATAAAAAGGATGTTCTACTTACAGAAAAAGGCAATAAATTCAGTTGGCGTTACATACCCTCCTCTGAATCCCTTAGTTTCAAGAGTCTGCTGGATTTTAAATGATTTTAGCTCCAATCCTCTCTTGATTTTGCATTCAGATTTATCAGCTATTTAGCCTATGGAGAAGAGGTAGGAAATCTCCCTTGATAGTCACTAGATTCCATGATTTTTGTAATAAAGGTGGACTATCGCAAAGCAAAGCACTGCTTCAAGCACCATCTTTATTTGAAGTAATGCATGAGTCCTATAATCAGTCTAAAAAAAGAAAAAGGAAAATGGTGAGAAGATGCTGTAATTCCTCAAAGCTCCTTATGATACAACATTGGGTCCTCCTCACTTCTATGAGAGAAGCAAAGCAATTGCAGTGTTTTGCTTTGCCTGATTTGTTTAACTCCTTTGGCATTTGCAATAACCAAGGGAGGGTTCTGCTTATGCACAACCTATGTGCAGAAACTTCTACCAGTGTTTGTTAGAGGAAACACAAAGATCACCCCTTCCTTTCCAGGAAGTGAATCAGAACACTTCTGTGGTACAAAGCCCCTTATTGGAGAAAATCAATCAGTCAAATGGGTTTGTCACAATCCCTATTTTACCAGTTGAATCTTTCCACACTGATTCAATATATGAGGAAGTTAACTGAAATGAAGGTTGTTTCTGACTGCATTTTTCTGGTCACCTTGCATGAATAATACATAATGCAAGCTTATGGCTGTGAGAACAAATTTTACGCAACACTGATATAAATCGTACCAACAATGTCTGAGTGGGATCTTAAATGTGAAGAATATGCAGCGGTGTATATGTTGTCTTCTTCAATTTTGGGTCTTCCACAAGAGGCCTGGGATTTTGAGGGTTCTGCACAATATCTTAGCTGTTCCTAGCACCGCACGATTCTGGACTGAGAGCTTTGCTGCTGTTCCTGGGATTTGTTGGATTCACTTTCTCAACTTTGTTGGCCTTTATTCTCTACTTCATCTCTAGTTCCCCCTTCAGGCTCAGTTTCTCATACTCCTTCCTGATGTTGCTGTCACTTAGTACTGCTACATCTACTACCACTGCTGTCTTCTGGTCCTCATCTACTGAGATATATATCTCAGAAATGTGATTACTTTTAAGCAAAAACAGCGTTTTTCTATTATATATTACATAGCAAAATAAATACAAACGCTATGATTTGAAAGATTTGCACCAATAGATATCTTGCAAATTGGTCGTACCAAAAGAGGAGAAGTTAGGTGTTTTTAGCTGTGTTTTGCTTTTAGTTTTTAACATTAAATATGTTATACACATTAACATTTATAAATAATATACTGGAGCTTTTGGCATTAAGCTCAAGAATTTGTATTTCTTTTCCATAACATAAAAGTAATGTAACATTGAGCATTCAGTCTATAATTTCAGTAATAATCTCTCTTTTATAGATTTTAATATCATTTTGTTTTAAATATACATTTTGTTTTTAAGAAAAAATACACAGTATAACATGTAATCGTTTACACTGTCTATACAACATGAACAATATAGTGAAAATGTGTGTGAGAGTGCTTTTGTCTTCATAGAAAGTTTCCATAGTAAGTTTGAGGCATTTTATCAGGAACAACCTGACTTTATGTCTCCATTATGGTCCTTTTTTTTCCGTTTCCATTTTCTAAGACAATTGGTTTGGAAAATATCTGCCACTAGGCAGTACCAGCTTAGATTAATCAAAGTATTTAATTTAACTTTCATTTCTTTAGGATATTTTTTAAAAGAGTCTGTGTATTCCGGCACATTAGAATAATCTTACTCTGGGATTTACTTTCCCAATAATCCAGCTAAGAACTGGTTAGTCAGCCACCCATTAAAAATGGCAGATTTGATTTGGGTTTACTAATCCACAATACAGTTTAAACTATGTCAAGTGTGTTGCATCCAGATGTATGAGTCTCTTTGTGAGGGAGGTGGGTGGTTTCAAAATCAAATGAATGAATGAATGAATGAATGAATGAATGAATGAACGAACAAACATCTTTTTGGTGACACTGATCATAAAAAAGTTGTACCAATAAAGCAATAAAGTAAAATATTTGTAGCTCAGGGTTGAAAGCACCAAGGTTCCCTCAAAAATCTGTCTGAAAAATAACCAGTCCTGTTCGATATACAGATGGGAATATAAGAAAACTGCCAGAGCACCTGTCTTGAATCTTTACTTTTTTTCCCCACAAGATAAACAACTTAATTAAAAACAGGATATTAATCAGCCTTGTTTTGTATTTTCATAATAGTTTGCCCTGACATTTTCAGCTATTTTGTTCCACTTGTTTGCCTTACAATGGATTTCCTGATGAGGATGCCAGTAAACAACTATTGATGCCAGTTGGCACCTCACTAGGTGATGTGAGCATTAACACTGAGGTGGCTGCTTGAGAAGATGATTTGGCTTCTAGTGGTCCACAGGGACTACAAGGATCTTACCACAGGCAATCAAGCATTTCTGTTGCCTGTGTCACTCCCATGTTGATTGCATGCTTTACATATCTCCGGGCTTGCTAGTTGCCTTTATGCAGTGTAATGCAATTCAGAATGGCTCTCAGGGAAGAAATCCAGAAGTCCAAAATCTAGAGACTCTTAAGTGATTTATAAAAAGCAACCAGGAACAGTATTGGCATCTGGCATGCATGGACACACTGGGATTCACCCATCTGTCATGATTCATCCCAGAATCATTTGCGTAGACTATAGGTCCATCTAGTCTGGACATGGGGTCATGTTTTATTTTGACTTGAGTTGAAAAATATCTTACAAACTTTTATAACATTGGCTTTCAATACGAGTGCTGATTTACCATAGCTAAATCCAGCCAAGAACCACATAAATACAATATGTAGAACTGTGCAGTACACACATTATGGAGAGAAAGAGAGAAGTTCTCTGAGGATGGTTTCCTTTGGATAGGCTCTAATAGAAGCTCAAAAGCTTGAAAAAATAAACCTTTGGTTGTGGCGACTGATTCAGATTGGATCCTGTACCTTTTAAACATTTTTATGTAAGTATATTTAGAAACTGGTCAGTGGAAGCTGTTGGATTTATTCATGATCATTCTGAGCTTTGGGTGCCTGTAATATGAGAGTGCACATGCTTTTTTTTTGTTAACTAAGATGTTTTGCCCATATTAAGAGTGCAGAGTTTATTATAATGAAAGGGAGTGTGGAATGAGGGAACATAGATGTCATCTACTTAATAACTGAAGTTGTAGTCAAGGCCACTGGTGGTATGAAATTATTTAGGTCCATTACTGCCCTTATCATTCAATGATGCAATCCAATGGGTTTTACTGATTTTTGCCTTCATAAAGAAGAAAATAATTGATGAAAACTTACCAAGGAGAGATCCAACCTAGAAATAAGGGAGAAATTTCCTGACAGGGAGAACAATTAATTACTGGAACATTTGCCTTCAGAAGTTGTGGGTGCTCCATCACTGGAGCTTTTCAAGAAAAGATTGGATAGCCATTTGTCCAGAACAGTAAAGGCAGTGATGGAATTCAATTTTTTTTTACTACCGGTTCTGTGGGTGTGGCTTGGTGGGCGTGGCAGGGGAAGGCTACTGTAAAATCTCCAGTCAGAGGTGGGATTTGCCGGTTCTCCAAACTATTCAAAATTTCTGCTACTGGTTCTCCAGAACTGATCAGAACCTGCTGAATTACCACCTCTGATTATATGGTGTCCTGTTTGGATAGGGGGTTGTAATAGAAGGCCTCCAAGGTCCATCCCAACTTTGTTATTCTGTATTGCTGAATTAGGTGGGGCTAGGGAAGGATTTTCTCATTTTGTTTTATGCAGTAATGTAAAACTGGCTCACAGACTAATTACTAATTGTAATTAGTACAGTAGAGTATCATAGGAAGTGTAACAACGCCGGAGCTGCAAATACTGCAACAATGGTGCCCACACATGGTGCCTGACATGTGGCAAAACATTTCATTCCCATATAGGACTTACCAGCCACCTGTGAACAGCCCACAACCTGTTAGATGTCAAAGTCCTCTTCGAACATGAACATTATCATAGGAACTAGGGATATTCTCCATTGTGGTGGAGATAGCATTCAGGATTGGGTGATCAGTCTCTGCCTGTGATTGGACTGAGTCTGTCAAAACTTTGATGACACTCCCTCTGCTGCTATGGACCTCCCCAGAAATTGACTCAGTCAGCTTGTTGGATGACGTGTTAATTTCTTATCCTTTCAAATTGATTGGAAAAATAGGAATAAAAATACCAATCCTGAATTCTATTGCAAGCCAGAACCAGTCTACCACTTTGACAGCTGTCAAACTGCAGCGTGGCTGGGGCTCTTCCCCAGTCGTTGGACTTTGGATCGGCTGAGGGCCAATCTACAAGGTACTAAGGTTCTGGTTGTGGGAAGAGTTTGAATACCGTCCTCACCTCCTTCCCACACTTTGGCTTGGGAGGGTCCCAGCGGTTTCGGCTGTTGGAGACACTGAGATTAACCGCGGTAGCCTTTAAAGGGACAGAAGACCCGCAGCGAAGAGTACAGGTAGTAAGAGTAGGTTTAGGAAAGTGAAAGGCTGAAGCATGCTTGGGGTGACTCCAGGGTAAGATTGTTGGAGTCAGAGATGTCAGAATCACAAAAGGCTAGCTGCGATGTCAGGAGGGGGGAGAGGGTGGCTCGACAGCCATCATGTTCTCTAAGCCCAGCAACCCCAGAACAGATGGCTTCATTTTACAGCTCCAAGCCAAAGGACAAGGCTGCAGGAACCTGAAAGGGTTCCAAGACAGCAGAGAGGGACAAGCGCCACAGGGACAAGGCGCTGGATAAAGTGTGGGCTCGAGGGAAAGAGCAAAATGATGAGGAAATGGCGCCCTGCATAATTTCCCACCCAAATGAGGAAAGGCCATTATCAAGAAGAGAGAGGCAGCTGCAAACTGACAGGACTGCAGTAGCAGAAGCGGCCATAGGGGGAGCTGAAGAGCAGGAATCTATTGAGGCTTCTGAGATCAGAAATTTCTTCTCTGTCCGCCCAACAACAGAGCAACTGACAGTTACTGATCAGAGGCACAGAATGGCTCCAGAAGCAACCTTTACTCCCATGTCAGTTGGGATCAGACCAGTTAGGGCGCAGGAACCTGAGTTCCAGGTTAATATGCAGGCTATGTTAAACAAGGCAATGAGGCAAGGAGTGTCAGCTCTCTTGAGACAGACCAGAGGTTCTCCCTCAGAGGTTTCTGCTTTCTCTTCCAGACACAGTAGGAGACCCAGGTCTCATTATGATGATGATCTTTCCCTGCATACAGAATCAGGTGCGTATATTCCTGCTGTAAGCTCCCACTCCATCACATCTGACAGTGGCCAGCTGATGGACAGAAACTATTCTGATGATGAGGACCTCAGTGAGGCTGACCAAGGCTTGTTCCAACCTGCCATCTTTAGATCTCTCCTCTTTAAGGCCAAAAAGGCCACAGGGCGAGGCTTCGTTCCTGAACCGCAGGAACCTGCAGACCCCTCTGAAGACTCCAATGACCCATTGTTTTCTGAGAAAACAGTCACAGCAGATGTCATCCCTGTGCCAAAGATGTTCACCACAGTCATCCAAAGACAGTGGTTGTCCCTCAGATCTGGTCCAAACCCTTCCTCCCTAGACAAGAAATTGTTTAATGCAGGAGGCGATCTTTCCAAGGCCCTGGAAGTGCCCAATGTTGATGCCCCAGTTGCGGCCCTACAAACCAACACAGACATCCCTGGGAAGGCTGAGGACTCACTGGAGGCTGAGGACAAGGAGGCTGAACAAACATTGCAAAGAACACACCTGTCAGCAGCATGGGCAGTGAAAGCTTCCAGAGCCACATCTTTCTTCAACAGAGCCTCTCTCATCTGGCTCCAGGAGCTACAGGAGAGAATTCCACAGGACGATGTCAGATCACACCTGCATGTGAACAAACTATTGTAGAATTTTCAGCAGATGCCACACTGAGTGCTGCCAGATTTGCATCCAGGGGAATAGGGGGAACAGTGACCTCTCATCGCTTGCTAAAGCAATGGCAGGCTGATATGAGGCACAAGTGGAGGTTGGCCATGGCCCCATTTAAAGGGGATAAATTGTTTGGAGAGGCTCTGGACAAGGTCCTAGTGGACTCCAAGGACAATGGGAAGGTTTTGCCATCCAAGTCCAAAAAAAGTGATTATAGACCAACTCCCTATGCCAGGCACTCCTATTATAGGACCCCCAAAACAGGAGGGGGATTCCCCAGACCCCAGAGGTCTTTTGCCCCCATGTTTGAACAAAGCCAGGACAGGACAGGTAGAAATCATCCTTTTAACAATAAGCGGCCCTTTCGAGGGGCTGGGAGTCATCCCTTCCAACAACCCAGATAAAATGAAGACCAACCCTCCCATTGGGGGACATCTGGCCTTGTTTGCCAGGCATTGGGAGGAAGTAACCACTGACACCTGCATCCTAGAGACAGTCCACTCCAGACTATCTATAGAATTCCTCTCTATGCCCCTGAGATTTTTCATTCGTTGCCCTATCTCTAGGAATGCAGAGAGAAGGAAGCTTATGGAAACAGCTATTCAGCACCTGCTGGAGATTCAGGCTCTATTCAGCCAGTGCCTGAGGGTCAATAAGGCATGGGATTCTATTTCATATTGTTTGTAATCCCCAAAGCCTCGGGGAGATGGAGAACAATTCTGGATTTGAAGCGCCTTGACTGCCGGGTGAAATACAGGCAGTTCAAGATGCATTCACTCCAGTCCATCCTGGAGGGAATTAGGGAGGGGGACATCCTTACCTCCATTGATTTAATGGAGGCCTATCTCCATGCCCCTATTATCCCTGCTCATTGACAATTCCTCAAGTTCTGCTACAATGGGAGACATTACCAATACAGGGCCTTGCCCTTTGGAAAAATCCAAATCCAATCCTCAGCCCCCCAGGTCATTCACTAAGCTGTTGGCAGCCCTGGCAGCCCACCTTAGGGCTATACCAGTTAGGGTCCAGTGTTATCTCAATGACATACTGGTCCAGTCATCTTCCCCATCTAGAGCTGTAGAGGATTTAGAGATCACCATTCAGGTGCTCCAAGAGCATGGCTTCTCTGTCAACGAGGCCAAAAGCCACTTCACTTCCACCAATACCTTACTCCATCTGGGAGCTGTTATAGATACTAATTCCTGCAGGGTGTCCTTATCCCAAGAACGTCAGGACAGTATCAGGAAGTTAATTGGACAAGTGAAATCTAAACCTAGGGTATCCCTGGCTATGCTTTCTAAGCCTGGGGAAAATGATATCATGCATTAATATAGTGCCCTGGGCTAGACTGCATTCCAGGTCACTCCAATGGTTTCTTCTACCTTATCAGAAACAGGTAGGAGTTGTTCCCTCTTACAGGTCAAATGAACTCCATTGGTCCTTAAGTCTTTAAAATGGTGGTCATCTGAGGCGCTTTTCATGGGACTCCTATTCAAGGAACTGAACAGTTAGTGCTGACCACAGATGCCAGTCTTCATGGCTGGGGTGCCCACATTCAATCCCGGGTGCTCCAAGGACAATGGTCCCAGGCAGATTTGGACCATAATATTAATTGGTTAGAGCTTCAAGTGGTCCATCTGGCTCTGAGACAATTAGAGGATGTGGTCTCAGATAAGGACATCCTATTCTTGACTGACAATGTGCCAACCAAGGCACACATTAACCACCAAGGTGGGACTCATTCAGGGCCTCTGATGCTGGAGGCAGAGCAGCTTGGTTTATGGACAGAGAGACACCAGGTGTCACTCAGAGCTGAGCACGTTGCAGGTGTGGCCAATGTTGAGGCTGACTGGCTTAGCAGAGCCACCATTGACCATGCAGAGTGGTGTTTGCATCCCAATTTGTTTCAGGAGCTGTCAGAGTGCTTTGGATACCCAGCAGTGGATCTCTTTGCTTCCCAGAACAACACACAACTCCTGAGATTCTATTCCAGGTTTGCGGTTCTGGGGACGGAGGGAATGAATGCCTTACACAGCCTTGGCCATGGGAGCTCCTGTATGCCTTTCCTCCTCTGCCCCTGATCCCGAGGGTCATCCAGAAACTGTTGGTGGAAAGAGCAGAGCTTATCCTTGTAGCCCCTCATTGGTTCAGGAGGCCATGGTTTGCAGACTTAGTAAACCTTTCTATTTCTAGATCTTGGAGGATACCGGAGGACAGAGTGTCAGCCAGGGGCCAATCTTGCATCCAGAGCCCCAGTGGCTTCACTTGGCTGTCTGGAGATTGAGTGGGGATCTCTGATCTGGGACAATTATTCCTCCAGAGTAATAAGAACAATCCAGGCCTCCAGGAGGGTCTCTACCAACCTTATCTGGGAAGCTTTCAGCACATGGTGTTGTATGACATTGTCCCTCTGGGGCCTTGATTGCCCAGGTGCTAGACTTCCTCCAAGAGGGCCTGGACAAAGGGCTTTCACCTAATACTCTGCGGAGGCAGGTTGTAGCCTTGTCCTCTGTTCTATCCTTGGGAGGAGTGGAAACTGTCCAGACATCCCACAGTCTGCAGGTTTCTGAAGGGGGCTACAAACCTGAGGCCTCCAGTGGTTAATAGATATCCAACATGGGACCTCTCTAAAGTACTGCAGTCACTGACTAAGGCCCCATTTGAAACACTGAGGTCAATTCCCTTGCAGTTTTTGTCTTGTAAGGTAGCCTTTTTGTCTTGTAAGGTAGCCTACCTCTGTCAGAAGGATTTCAGACCTGGCAGCCTTGTCTGTCAGGAAAGACCTTTGTGTGTTTCACACCAATCGAGTGGTGTTAAGACTAGACCCTTCATTCATGCCAAAGGTGAACTCATGGTTCCACAGATCTCAAGAACTAATTTTACCTGACTTTTGTCTGCATCCTGTGCACATGTTAGAAAGATGATGGCATACTCTGAACATTCAGAGGGCTTTGAGGATTTACATCAAGAGGACATCGCCCTTCAGGTGGTCTGAATCCCTCTTTGTTTCCTTTCAACCTTCCACCATGGGCTGCAAGGTAACTCCAACGACTGTGGGGAGATGGATAAGACTTTGCATATCCAAGGCCTTCCAAACACAGGGACTTGCAGTTCCTCCAAGGATAACAGAGCACTCAACAAGAAGCATGGCAACATCAACGGTGTGGGCCACCCACGCTTCACTGGAGGAGGTTTGCAGG